AGTGGAGTGACGTCACAGCAAATACCTCTGAAGAACAGTATTTTGGCCCTATTGTATTATTTCAGAAATTATTCTTTATATCGATCAGTTGATGGGTGAATGATCTAGGAAGGTTTGAAATCCAATTTTTCAGTTCTTTCTTGAATAGGCTTCCATTTGACTGTATCGAGGGACGAGTGGATGTCGCTTATATTTGGTAATCAAAGGCGCCAAAATATTCTTCGAAACTCCATTGAAGCCGGTAGCATTATTCTCGAAGCAACGCCACGCCTGGAACGGCGGCGAACATCGAACATTTGCGAGCCCTGAGCTACGTCACGATTATTGGTTTATGGCTACCACTGGCGGCCGGCGTTATTTTCTTAAGGACATGGTTTACAACACATGGTTCCCTGAGATTGTTCATCCCGAAAAACATTCCAAGAGAGGACATCGCGACCCATGTAAAGACTCAGCCTCTCTATGTAGACAACTTTAGGCTTGTGGCTGGTGGCTGGGTGACAATTGGATTCTGTACACTAGATCGTTTATCTTTTTGGTTACCAAGTAGGGTCCTTGCCATGGTATCTGCAGCTTGGGACACACACCTTTCCGACGTTGGTGTTGGTAGAGCCACACTGCATCGCCCTCCTTGAAGCTCACTGGTAGCGACTTTTTGTCGAATCTTATCTTCATCCTGTCGCTGGAAAGCTGTAATTTGGTTCTGGCAAATTCGTGTACAATTTCCAGTGTCTCCTTCAGGTCATTAACAAACTCTGAAATAGGTACCTCTTGAGATTCATTGAAAGGACTGCCACACAATACATCTAACGGAAGCTTCAGTTCCCTACCAGTTAACAACATGGATGGTGTGTAACCTGTCGCGTCATGTTAGGAGCTCCTGTATGTCAACAGAAAAAGAGTAACCAATTTATCTCAGTCTCTTTGGTTTTCGGAGACAAACATCGAACTGTATTTTTTGGAAAAGGAAGTTTTTGGCTTTCTACTACTCGATCTTGATACAGAAATATGTGGGAATCTTCCAAAGAAAAGAAGGAAGTAATCAATTTTAAAAGAAGTAACTGTCTACATAATAGATCATGCATGCAAAGAAGTAACTTTCAGACACAAATCTGGAAGAAAAAACCTTCCTGAAACAGCTACTTTCATATAAACATTGAATTAC